AAACTTATTGTTCTTTCAAAAATGAGACGGAAATTATGTACGTTTGCCTTTATAAAGTCGTAAAAAAGAATTAAAAACTTATAAAATAAGATCACTTGACCAGAAGTGGATCAGAGCTTCAATTGCAAAATGTCACAGTGGTGTTGTAATAAAAGAATAGTGTGCCACGGTCTGTAGACACGGGTCCGACATCGCAACCAACTTCGGCTTGCAAAGAAGGACACCGGTACAGAAATATCTCAGGAATAGTGTTTGTTACGAATGGATGCCCTTTCAGGTCGTTTTGTATATAGACAGCTTCTCTACACTAAAGCGTTGAACTGGATATGAAAGTAGTCGTAAGCGGAACGCAAGAGTGTCGCAAAAAGTGTGGCACCAACTATGATATTCGTTAGTATTTTATTATTAATCTACGTGACTAAACAGCTCTCTAACTAATCTTGTGTTCCAGTATTTTCCTTTGGGATATTATTAACCTGGACTACAAGTTGATTCAGTTGACACAAACATTATAACAGAGGTAAATGCGGTTTTACCAATCAACGTAGGTCGTTTCAGTCATGAGAAAAGTAAAAAGAAATCAGAAGACATATGTAAACCTTGTGCAAGTCACGCTTTAAAAATGGTTGAAACATGAATTAGGAAAGTGATAGAACGGATTAAATCGCCTTCAGTTACGATAACAACAGTGTGACAGAATCAGTTCATTATTATGATCAAACATGTTTTTGTATAGATTGGTTCAACAAAAATAAACCATTCGATTCTTTGAAACGAAGACGATGATTTTCAGCAAATTGTTAGTGATGAGGAGAACAGATACTATAATTTGATCCCTTCTCAATTGTCAGAGAGTGAAGAAAAGCGTAACTAAAGTAGCACTTGCTTGTCGGTTAATATATGCCAAATTATTCCTTATAAGAAAACGGCTAGTATTACCGTTACCCCTACCATTACAATTGAGATCATAGAGGCCAGAATTCTTCGCTACAGTTACCTGAGAACTCCATAATAATTTTGATGGCTCTATAGTGGGTACGTCACTAGGGCTATGTACAGTTTTGAATTCAGTGTTGCTCTTCTCCTAAACTGGTTGCCGACCACGATTACTTTATTGTTTAACCCATAGCTGGGGTATATGGGAGGAGATATGGATTCATAGATTCCCCAATGATATTTGTGCGAAACTGAATATAACGAACTCAACCAGAATCCGAACTCGGTTCACTGATTTCTCCACTAAGCATTACATTACATTTACATCCAAAATGGAGGTTCATCAATAATTAAAAAAGCACTTTCTCATTAATGGCCACTCTTAACGGAAGTATTTCAATTTTTCGTCTTTCGTGTCAGAATTTAGTTGATAATTAACTTGACAACTTCTTAAAACATTTAAATGGCAAAGACTTCTGTATTAAAAGCCAAATGACATCTAAATTCAAATGATTTGTTAACTACACTTGTGCGTTAAATACAAAGGCAGGTGCGGTTAAAATATTTCTTTCAGTTCCTCAGCCTCCAAAGATACGAGAATTTTTTGGTACGGAATGCTTAATATTTCGCAAATAACTTTCTCCTCCGCCCCAAGACCATTTTTATTCCAGGAATCAAGACTTTCCTGCTTATTTTATAAGTTGATAAATGAACACCGGTATGTTTATTCCAGACGGCATTTATATTTGGTACAAAAGAGCATTTTTCTCTACTCACTTTCTGTATTTTGATTTACTTATGATACTATCATATGACACATAGAAAGCATTTAGAAAGCGATTTATATATATATATATAATATATATATATATATATATATATATATATATATAATATATAATATAAAAAAAAAGAAAAGGCTATTTTATCAAGGCGTTTCATCCTCTGGTATAATATATCAAGTCAAATTTTAATTTGAAACATGATATCCCACAATAATATCCTTACATTTGCGTTGATAATGTCCACCAGAGGACGAAATGCGTTGGTAGAATATTTTTTATTTGTCTTTATTCATATTATCATTTTACAAATTTATTTTTTATTTAAATCTAGATTTTTACACACATATCTATCTATCTATCTATCTATCTATCTATCTATCTATCTATCTATCTATCTGTCTGACGATCGCAAAATCGTGAAACCCAGGGTCACAAACTCACATCAATCCAACAAAATATGTTAGCTTTATCTCTGATATTGAGCGCTTTCTAATAAGTACCGCGCATATAATATATAAATATATATATATGGAAAGATAATATAAAATGAATATATATATATATATATATATTCTCTCTCTCTCTCTCTATATATATATATATATATATATATATATATATATATATATGTACCGAGTGTAACAGCAAAATTGTCTAAATGGCGTAACTGCATAATTGTTCATCCCACAAAATGTTTGACATCTTAAAATCCAGTAAACTAATTCAGTTTCTTTTTTCAAAGTTTTCGTAAGAATCTTTTTTCCATTTGTCGTAAGAATAATAGAGAACAGGTTAAAATCGTTTTGTGTCAGCACTACCGTCGTCCCAAGTGAACAATGGTGAGAGGAAAAAAGATCATACTGGTCTTCAGTAGTAGTACCAACGATACTCTGGCCTTCGTCTTTAAAGTCCATTCAAGAACCATAATAAGGTAAAAATAGAGGGAACAGTAGTGAGGAAAACTGGATTACGTGGTCACAACAAGAAGAAGGATCTTCATTTTAACTTAGAGCTAAAGAGATAAATTCGAAAAGATCCAACTCAATTCATAAGACGTTTGACACGTGAGAGAGAAATTTCTGCTATGACAGTTCAAAGGCCTGTAAAAGAAAAGACTTGAAAAACTTGTTAGAGAGGGCGAATTCTGGAATATATATATATATATATATATATATATATATATATATATATATATATATATATATATATATATATATATGAACTTATATCAATCCTTTTGAGCTTTCGATCATGATCAATTAATGATGAGCATGTCATTTTCTTTTATGATAGATTTCATCACGATTCTTCGGAAAGACTGGGAGAATAATTAGACATTCTTATTGGTCAAAGTAGAATCCACTAGTGTTATAAACCTTGGGGAATTACAGTATAATATCTTTAACCATTTCTAAGATACAACGGTTCAAAGCTTAATCTAACAATTGGAACATATATATATATATATATATATATATATATATATATATATATATATATATATGTGTGTGTATTTAGGCATCAGTTTTGTATTTTTTCTAGTTTGGGTGAAGACCAAAGAAATATTTAATTTTGTACGGCTCTCATAATTTTTCAATGTCTTCTGAGTTCCTATGGCTTTCATAATCCATTATCAAAGAATATGTCTGTGTGTTTCCGTGTGTGTGTATGTCTCTGTGTGTGTCTGTGTGCGTTCGTTGATAAGGTTTATTTCTGTAGCCGAATTGTATTTCTTTGCTGAAATCCTTCTACAGTGTCTAAACAACAACAAAAAATAATTGTATGTCAAAAATTAATGGCACGAGAAAATTAACAATCAATTGTTTTCTTTCTTTTTCTTTTAACTTTGAGCATTTCTAATCTTTTTCAATAAATTTTTACTAAAATAACACAAAAATCTACGGATATATTTAGCCAAACTTTATATACATAATCTTCATGTTGGTTCAGAATAATTGGCTTTATTGTTCTTCTCCATTTTCTTTCAATTTATTCCATACTCTCAGACTAAAGATCGAGTGAAAAACTTCTAGTCGTATCCTGAATATATTTTTGTATTAACGTCTGGATAATGGTTCAACCATATTACAGTTTCTGATACTAACAAACACTTTCAAATTGACAACAAATATTTGAAAAGAATTCCGTTTTTGTCATTATGCCATTATATCTCACTAAGTTTCCTATTGATTTTGCAGAGAAACACTTGGAAGCATAATAACCTCTTCTTCGTGTTTTGTTGAGGTCTTTAAACAGAATTGCTGTCAAAAAGCCTAACAAATTCAAGTTTTGTCTCATCTGACCATCATATATACTCTAAGAATGAAACAAGCCTGTCAATCTGTTCATTTACAAATACTAAATGAGATTTCAAATAGCCAAACTTAAAAAGAAAGGCCATATGAGATCAATATGTTCGTGGGTCTTCGCTATGTGAAGCTCAGTCTATTAAATTTCTTGTAACATTCACACTAGGGGTTTCCAGATTATTCCTGAAATCCTTTGTTGTAATAATGGGATTATTTTTAGAAGTTCTTGGAAAATTATAAGTTACTCAGGTCGACAGTTTCTTCTTCGTACCACGACCAGGTTTATTTGCAGTAATACTTTCCCCTTAAAACCTTAGAACGACTTTTCGTACAGTTGATTTAGTTATAGTAAAGCATTTAGAATTGACATGGTACGCTCTGGCTGATTTGTAGGCCAGAATAATCTTAGTTCTAATTCTTGAACTAGCTTCACATGTTTTCATCATTTGGTCATATATCATTTTTATCTCAACAGATCTGTAGTGAGTGTGAAATAATAACTCCTTTCACCCTCTCTCTTCAAATTCTACTGACCGAAGAAGAAGAAGGAAAGGAATTTGCGAGCCTATATGAAATTGTATTTGGGCCAATGAAAACCTTGCTTTCACAGAAATTAGCCGGTCAGCCAAGAAGAAGAAGGAAATAAATTTTTGATATAAAATAATGAAAAAAAAAAAAATCAGAGAAGAGTATTTGATGTCAAGTGCAAGTTTTGATTCATTCCTCCATGACCAACATTGATGGTCTCACCAGTGTAAAATTACTCATCCATTATATTATCGACCTCTAACCAAGCACGCAACACTTCAAAATAATTTTTTCTCAACAATTCAAGAAAGTTAAGTATTTCAAACTAACTTTATTAGTCTGCTTTTGAACATATACAAACCACATATCCTTCGGTGAGCAACAAACTCTCTTACATTTGTTTTAATCATGTTTTAATATTATTTTCTGTCAGATCATTTAATCTGTTTATGAACATTTCCTCTTTATGACAATATGTTGACACTACAAGGATTTAAGGATTCTTATGTATTCCGTTATGGCGTGAATAATTTTAGCGCGATTTAAATCCCCAATATAGGTTCTTTTGGAAATACATGTATATTAATATATTAAAGATTATTATATATTATTCATTTATATTTGACAATGTATCATTTTCTTGTTTATACAATGCCATTGACCTAAGACATGACATTTCTTTTTACTTTATTTTATTAAATATATATTGTAAAAAGCCATCTGTGCACTTAGGCCACCCTAATACTAATAACTGCCCTACCGGAACAATAGTAACAATATTGAAAATTTGTTTCTCCATAAACTAAACTAATCAGTTTAGATTTGAAATCCTGTCTTCATGTAATATTGCATTAATGACAGACTTAAACAAAATCTTTATCTTACAACTTTCTAAACCTCCTCATTGATGATGACCGAAGAAACAGTCGAAAAATACTAGGAACCTCTCTTTTTCACAATTCAATTATGGACTGTTCATTCACGAATTTTCATTAAATGAACTTGGGTTTTATTCATAAAATGTAATCAAAAACATAACCGTATTTAATTTTCTGTTGCATTCAATAATACCTGCATAACAGAAAACTTGTTACGCAAGTATACGTTACGTTATTCAATATATATATATATATATATATATATATATATATATATATATATAAATTAATGAATATCAAACACTTAAAATACCATAGGTAATAATCTTTTATTGCATGAAAGCTATAAAAATAGCCTCCAATCTTTCAGACCAAATACAAATATAAACGGAAAAAATACTCCAGATTAAATTCAAGACATACAGATATCTTATTAAGGAAGAGAATGAAAGAGAAAGAGAAGGAAAGAAAGAAATTTATGAACATGTAATAATGGTGGAGAGAGGGGGGGAAAGAAGACCGGAGGATTTATTCTCAGTAGACTTTAAGGTTTGAGTTGACCTGATGTAATATGACATACGCTACTATGTTGCATTTTGATTTAGAGGTTGAATGAAAATATTCTTAAGCCAATGGGAGTTAAGAAACACTGTCTGTATCTCTTACGGGCTAAAAATCTGACATATATATTCAATTTAAGAAACTTTTATAAATTTATCTTAAAAATACTGTTTGTTTAAGGACATTTTAAAAAATATTCAGAACTCAGCGAAAGATTTAGAATTTACCTTACAATAGTATAAGTTCCTAATATAATTCCCCAAGAGATTTAAATTAAATTACCCGAGAAATATAAATAAAATAATTATTAATTATTAAGATATCAAGAGAAACTTAGTTTATTCTATTAATAAAGTATATTAAGCAGAATGTATTTATTACATTTTAACAGTGTACGGGGATACTTTAAATTAAAAGTAAAATAATAATTTAAATTACCACCGTACCCTGTTAAAATATAATAAATACATCCTGCTTAATATACTATTAATATTATGTAGAAGTTGTTCGAATTTTTTGTATGTTCGAGTGCATTCGGTTAGGCCTTTTACCTTGAAATTTTTAGCAGATGAACTACGATGCACATTATATGGCTTATTTTGTATTTGTAAGATTAATTTTGATTTAATATAGTTTTGTATTAATACTCTGTTAGTATTATTAACATCTTATATGTACTGGTATTTGGCTGGTATTTTTAACATATTTTATTGATTGGTTTGGTATTATTAACATTTTATATGAATGCTCTTTACTTAACGGTTGCTTATTATTTTGCCAAATAATTCTCTACGTTTCAATTATTTTTTTTAGTTTCTTAAAGAGTCCTCTTATTTATCAACGACAATCATTTTTATGTAGGAAACTATCAAAGCATATAACTAGTTGGCATTAAATTACCTCGCTACACTCTCCGCTTTTATTTCTTGGGAATGTTGTCTGATTTGTATACACTTTATGAATTAACGTAACCATCGATATCAGTCTTAATCTAATGCCTGCGATCTGCTTTAGACGACTTACTATCATGACCCTTTTCTGAAAAAATGTTTCTTTTTTCACATAGTTTGAATTTAGCCTCACAATTTAATACTATATATATATATATATATATATATATATATATATATATATATATATATATATATATAGTATTACAGTGTGAGTGTATTAGGTGCTAAAATTGCTGGTTCTTTTCCGTAGTTTTCTGTTGGAAAGACATCATAGGCAGGCAGGTTCATAAAGTGTTACATATCAAAAGATAATGATAGAGCGTTAATAATATTAATGTCGAGAAACTTGTCACTTAACTGAGTGGTATTACTTAAGTGTTATTTCAGAAGTAGCAGCAGAGAAGCCAATATCCCTGAAGAGTGAAGGCATTACAACAATGCCCTCACGAAACTTGGCATGACTGAAATAACATCACTCATTTAAGTGACAAGTTTCTCTAAAATCTATCTATCTATCTATCTATCTATCTATCTATCTATCTATCTATAAAAGGCAGGATGTGTGTGTGTAACGAATGCACGGCCGTAATTTTCGACGGATTTGCACCAAAATTTAAATGCACATGTTCCAAGTTAGCGGGAAGGCCAAGACCGACTTTGCATTTCCCAACTCCCATCGATAGTGGAAATAATCGTTTTTCTCGTGCTTCTCCAGCAGTTTTCATTTAGTTTGCGGCCATTTTCTACTGGTCAGAGTGAGAGCCTATAGCTGGCTGCCACGAATAGGCAGGAAGATTCTATTGGCCAGCGTGAGAGCCAACAGCTGACTGACACGAATGTTAACAAGCATGCTAGCATGCAAAAAAAAATCGATAGCTGCATTCGTCACAAGTGCGAAAAATTTAAATCTGCATGGCACTTTACTCCAATTGGCTCATTCGCTTGCTTAAACTCAACGTTGATTCTAATTCCGCAGAACTGTGTTGGGTGTGAAAAAGTATTTGTTGTTAACATTCTTTTTTCATTCGGTTTTTTCCAGTTACGAGTCCTTTTTTAAAGATGATCGTTTTGTGTTCATTTTGTTTAGTTCTTTTTTCGTAACAGATTTAATGTTTAGTATAGAGCTTAGAAAAAATTGGCAGTGTGAGATAGGTAACAAATAAGGCATGTAGCAACATCAGCACGGCAAAGGGCACTCCTTTAAAGGCAAGGAAGGGCCAAGATATTTTAAGTCAAGTGATATCGATTGCTGTATGAGTCATACGATTTTTGAATCAAGCACGGGCAACGTCGGGCCATGCTGCTAGTCTTATTATAATTAGTGAATATAATCTGATTATATTTTCACCTGAAGATTGCAAGAACTGCATGAAACCCCGAGTTATGCTATCGACGTTGGATATTATGTATATTCACTAATATATATTTATGACTCACAGCATTGAGCGCTCTGTTTGGTCATTGATTAACGTATTTTATCAAGTGAAGCATGAAGCCACAATACTTAGCAGTTAACTGATATATAACAATAATAGCTTCAACGTATATAATTTTCGTTCAAGCGTTTATGACAAACTTCTGCATCCACAGTAAAAGCGAAGCGTTAGGACTCAGTAAAGGTGCGATATTCTGATATCTTGAGGCAACGGTCACATTTCGTTGACATTTTCGCTTGATGCTGTCTTATGAAGCGCAAGGAATATAAAGGTGTTTGCATTTAATCACAAATGCGTTTCGACTTAGTGCAGGTTGCGAGCAATAATAACTTGGTTAAATATATGCTGTTTTATCATTGTAATAGATTTATTATCAATAACTGTGGACACACACATCTATAGAGAGTGCGTCACGAAACTTGAAACTGAAGCGAAACTTTTATTTACTTGTTTAATCTAATCGTCTGAAGAAATTTTAAAAGGTTGTACCACAGACCTTGAGACCATAAATAGTTGTTTTTTTTTAACTCATTTTTCTCATATTACCCTAGATTAAGCTCTCCAGAACGCGGATACAAATATTTTATTTTATTTCATAAAAGATAATACTAAGTTTTCTACTTGCTAAGTAAAATCTTTACATTTGGCTTAATAAAGTCCATCAGAGGGCGAAAGCTGAAGAAAAGTTTTCCTCACACACACACACACACACACACACACACACACACACACACACACACACACACATATATATATATATATATATATATATATATATATATATATTCCCCGACCTGAATTGATCAGATGTTTTGCTGAAACAGCGAAACAGTGTGTCTGTGGATGACTACACACACACACACACACACACACACACATATATATATATACATATGTATATGTTGTGTTAAAAAGTACTCTGTTGTATTATTTATCCATATAAAAACAATCTTATGATTTTACGTGTACGACGCTAGTTATTTAAAATACTTTTGGATCAGTTATGAAATTTATTTTAATTTTCACTTGATATTTACCTTAATTAAGAAAAAGTGCCTTCTGTATTTTAATATAATATAACAAAGATTACAAAAGATGCTAAATTTAATTCTCTTTGCTTGAAACTAACTCATTCGTTTACTTAGAAATAGTGGAAAAAAAAACAAAAAAAAATCTATCTAATATGTTTTATCGTGCAAACATCAGAACAAAAATAAAAAGCGGTTACAAAACAAACAACAAAAATCAAAACATTTGAAAGATTAGGGCCAGGTTAGGCGTTCTAATTATTACCACATTTGTTTCTTAATTTTATATATCTATTTTTCACGTGACAGAATTATTTTCGAACAGGCGAATACAGAAGTAAATAAGCAGTTGTTTATTCTCTAGCATTCGAGGAATACTTGTTTCAAGCTTCATAAAAAAAGAGCTTCAGACAATAATCTAAAAAGATGAGTAACGAAATCGACACATTTGCTTGATACCAGCAAACTTAGTATACGTAGAGTACAAATATATCAATCAGTACCTCCTCGCAGACTTTCATGTCCCAATTAACGTGCACCAACTGACACAACGCTCATATCATAATGCGCTGCGCCTCCATCTTGTCAGCTTTAATATTTCCCGCGCGCGGCAAACATGGCAAACGCGGCCGCACGTCAAATTATGAAGTGATTAGCTTGATTCTTTTCTGTTGTGGAATCATTCGCTCGGCAATTAATCGAGATGTCAGGACGGCACCCACAAAGCTAACTGATTGGAAAACCGGTTATCAATATTGAATTGTTGGATCGATAACAGTAATTTTGATGTAGCCGGAGACTCGGGCGGTCACGTTATTCTTTGACTAAGGTCATGTGCAACCCGACTGTTGACAAAAATCTGAAAGTAGTTATGAGAAGTAAAGAAGGGGGAAAAAAGTGGGGGCGAGAAAAAAGAATAAAATGTGTAAGAGGTAAGGAGGACGGAATTTAATGGAGAGAAACGAAGAAAAGACAAAAATTGAAAAACAGAAGAGAAAAAATTTGACAGGGAATGATAACGAGAAATATAACATAGAGGAGACAGTGTTGAAAATTGAAAAGAAATTAGTTTCGAAGTGGATGTGTCGTTTGTCAGCGCAGAGAAATGTTGCTGTAATGGACTTTGATGGATAGCATGTCAAAATCAAAGGAAAATTTGAAATCATTTCCCCCATACCTGAAAACATGCACACACCCACAACGAGGTCCGCGCGCGTGAGCACGCACACACACACACACACACACACACACACACACACACACACACACACACACACACACACGCGCGCGCGCGCGTGCGCGCGCGCACTATGGTACATGAATGAATCAAATCGTAAGTAAAGAAAACAATGCTTTGTGAGAAATACTCATTGTACACATTACAGAAAAAATATTTTAATCTTCTCTTGATAACGAATTAACCTAGAACAAGATTGCTTAACTACAGGTTGACTATCACAAATCCGTCTTCCGTATGAACTACAGAATACCGGATATGTCGGCCGGTTTACAGATAATGAAAAAAACAATCTAAGATGCCTGTACCGCTCCAGTAAGTGCCTGACTCCTCTACTTTAAAAAGAGCCAAGTCAGGCTTAAAATGGAGTACAGCTGCCATATATGGGCAGGAACTGCCCAATCTTTACTCTCCAGTTTCGATTCAAGGGTTCGAAAGCGTCTCCGCGTCCTTGTGGATGATGGATTATTTTCCACCCTTTTTCCTCACAGACGAAACGTTGCGAGCGTCTCGCTGTTCTGCCGCTATTTCCATGGAAAGTGGTCAGACAAATTATTTTCCTTAGTTCCACCATTTTTTAATGGCTAAGATCCACGATGTCACGTAAATGGTAGCGAACCACCCTCATTCCCTTCATATTCCATTGGGGAGATGTAGGTTCCACTCGAACAGCATCTTCCCACGTACCGCTGCTTCGTGGAACCGACTCCCAAGTAGATTTATCTGTTCAAGTCTAGGGTTAACGGTTATCTCCTCCACATATCCACATAAATTATGTCTCTTAATCTGTAAACCTCTATCTCGAGTGGCTCCCGGCCTTGTACTGGGTGAATATTATTGTAACAAAATGCGAACTACGAATTGCAAGCAAGTACTGAAATGTAACTATTCTGGGAAGTGTTTTAACAGACATTAGTATATGCGATACAGAAATAATAAAATAACATAAAGAAACATGCATTTCAAAAGCTAAACAAGATATCAATAAACGGCGAAATTCTGTTAGAAACAAAGAAAAGAGTGCTGAAATACTATTTAATATGAATCTTCCTATGTCACAGTAAACGTTAGATAATTTCCCCTCAGACTAAGAGGAGAATTGTTGGCAACAAAGATTTGGTACTACAAAAGGATACTGAGAATACTCTGGATGAAGTATGTAAGTAACGAAGGAATTTTAACAAAAATACAAACGAAATATACACATACTTAGAAAGAAACCGTTGAAAGTTTTCGGGCACATAATGAGGAAAGAGAGCTTGGAGAATGTGACACTCATAGGGCATACTGAAAGCAAGAGGTCTGAGGAAAAAAGCGAGTAACCTACGTAACAATGTTATGCAAATGAATCACAAAATAGTGATTGGGAATGATAAACAGGCACACAAACATAAAGAAATGTTGATAAGAGTAACAAAGGACAAGAAGTTGTGGAGAATCATGATCACCCACGTCCTGAAGGGACATGGCACATAAGAGAAGAACTTTAAAATACACTTAAGCCAACCAATGCCAGATTAACCTACGAGCAAAAGTAGCATTTTCAAGGGTCCTGCATTAAATACTTGGAAGCTGTCGGGTGAAATCACCATCTTACGAACTGGTAATGTTAATATCTACATATGAGAGTCGGGCTACAACTTTAATTAATCATCACTTCAGGTAAAATTATATCGAAGCCGACCAGAAATATCTCGTTAGAACCATTTCCCACATATTTTTCTGGGTTAGTTATTGCTAGAAGTTAAATATCTACCTCTTTTATAAACTGTCACTATGCTAGCAAATAATTTATGATCTAATATCTGAGTATTTATTTCATTTAGGGATTCTTTATGATATATACAAC